GGGTGTATGGGATGTTGTGTAGGGTGTGTAGGGTGTATGGATGGTGTGTGTAGGGTGTATGGGATGGTGTGTGTAGGGTGTATGGGATGGTGTGTAGGGTGTATGGGGTGGTGTGTGTAGGGTGTGTAGGGTGTATGGGATGGTGTGTGTAGGGTGTGTAGGGTGTATGGGATGGTGTGTGTAGGGTGTATGGGATGGTGTGTGTAGGGTGTATGGGGTGGTGTGTGTAGGGTGTATGGGATGGTGTGTGTAGGGTGTGTAGGGTGTATGGGATGGTGTGTAGGGTGTGTAGGGTGTATGGGGTGGTGTGTGTAGGGTGTATGGGATGGTGTGTGTAGGGTGTATGGGGTGGTGTGTGTAGGGTGTATGGGATGGTGTGTAGGGTGTGTAGGGTGTATGGGATGGTGTGTAGGGTGTGTAGGGTGTATGGATGGTGTGTGTAGGGTGTATGGGATGGTGTGTAGGGTGTATGGGATGGTGTGTGTAGGGTGTGTAGGGTGTGTAGGATGTATGGGATGGTGTGTGTAGGGTGTGTAGGGTGTATGGGATGGTGTGTGTAGGGTGTATGGGGTGGTGTGTAGGGTGTGTAGGGTGTATGGGGTGGTGTGTAGGGTGTATGGGATGGTGTGTGTAGGGTTTGTAGGGTGTATGGGATGGTGTGTGTAGGGTGTGTAGGGTGTATGGGATGGTGTGTGTAGGGTGTATGGGGTGGTGTGTGTAGGGTGTATGGGATGGTGTGTGTAGGGTGTGTAGGGTGTATGGGGTGGTGTGTGTAGGGTGTGTAGGGTGTATGGGATGGTGTGTGTAGGGTGTATGGGATGGTGTGTAGGGTGTGTAGGGTGTATGGGATGTTGTGTAGGGTGTGTAGGGTGTATGGATGGTGTGTGTAGGGTGTATGGGATGGTGTGTGTAGGGTGTATGGGATGGTGTGTAGGGTGTATGGGATGGTGTGTGTAGGGTGTGTAGGGTGTAGGGTGTGTAGGGTGTATGGGATGGTGTGTGTAGGGTGTGTAGGGTGTATGGGGTGGTGTGTGTAGGGTGTATGGGATGGTGTGTGTAGGGTGTGTAGGGTGTATGGGATGGTGTGTGTAGGGTGTGTAGGGTGTATGGGGTGGTGTGTGTAGGGTGTATGGGATGGTGTGTGTAGGGTGTATGGGATGGTGTGTAGGGTGTATGGGATGGTGTGTAGGGTGTGTAGGGTGTATGGATGGTGTGTGTAGGGTGTATGGGATGGTGTGTGTAGGGTGTATGGGATGGTGTGTAGGGTGTATGGGGTGGTGTGTGTAGGGTGTATGGGATGGTGTGTGTAGGGTGTGTAGGGTGTATGGGGTGGTGTGTGTAGGGTGTGTAGGGTGTATGGGATGGTGTGTGTAGGGTGTGTAGGGTGTATGGGATGGTGTGTGTAGGGTGTATGGGATGGTGTGTGTAGGGTGTATGGGGTGGTGTGTGTAGGGTGTATGGGATGGTGTGTGTAGGGTGTGTAGGGTGTATGGGGTGGTGTGTAGGGTGTGTAGGGTGTATGGGGTGGTGTGTGTAGGGTGTATGGGATGGTGTGTGTAGGGTGTATGGGGTGGTGTGTGTAGGGTGTATGGGATGGTGTGTAGGGTGTGTAGGGTGTATGGGATGGTGTGTAGGGTGTGTAGGGTGTATGGATGGTGTGTGTAGGGTGTATGGGATGGTGTGTAGGGTGTATGGGATGGTGTGTGTAGGGTGTGTAGGGTGTGTAGGATGTATGGGATGGTGTGTGTAGGGTGTGTAGGGTGTATGGGATGGTGTGTGTAGGGTGTATGGGGTGGTGTGTAGGGTGTGTAGGGTGTATGGGGTGGTGTGTAGGGTGTATGGGATGGTGTGTGTAGGGTTTGTAGGGTGTATGGGATGGTGTGTGTAGGGTTTGTAGGGTTTATGGGATGGTGTGTGTAGGGTGTGTAGGGTGTATGGGATGGTGTGTGTAGGGTGTATGGGGTGGTGTGTGTAGGGTGTATGGGATGGTGTGTGTAGGGTGTGTAGGGTGTATGGGGTGGTGTGTGTAGGGTGTGTAGGGTGTATGGGATGGTGTGTGTAGGGTGTATGGGATGGTGTGTAGGGTGTGTAGGGTGTATGGGATGTTGTGTAGGGTGTGTAGGGTGTATGGATGGTGTGTGTAGGGTGTATGGGATGGTGTGTGTAGGGTGTATGGGATGGTGTGTAGGGTGTATGGGATGGTGTGTGTAGGGTGTGTAGGGTGTATGGGGTGGTGTGTGTAGGGTGTGTAGGGTGTATGGGATGGTGTGTGTAGGGTGTGTAGGGTGTATGGGATGGTGTGTGTAGGGTGTATGGGATGGTGTGTGTAGGGTGTATGGGGTGGTGTGTGTAGGGTGTATGGGATGGTGTGTGTAGGGTGTGTAGGGTGTATGGGATGGTGTGTGTAGGGTGTGTAGGGTGTATGGGGTGGTGTGTGTAGGGTGTATGGGATGGTGTGTGTAGGGTGTATGGGATGGTGTGTAGGGTGTATGGGATGGTG